ATTATATTGACTTCCATTGACTTTGTACAAGACAGTGACTCCTTCGCCTTCTTGAAGTTGTTGAAAAATTGGTGATCGGTCCAGGATATTGATGTCGTTGAGGGTACCAGGAAGTCCAAAAAACACATGCCAAATCCAAAGGTCGTACAAGGCCACCGCTTCAAGAACAATCGTTGGCTCTTTCTCCTTGCCGGTGTAAGACTCAAAAAGTGATTGTAAGATCCTTTTTGCTGAATGGAGAAAGGGATGAAATGAGCTGCAAACTCTGCCTTTCTATATTATCAGAAAACAAGACCACCAAGGTAAGCTTGGCAGTTTGGTTGGTGATAATGGATTATGTTCAAAGATGGTTGTATAATTGTTGAAGGTTGATCTTGTTGTCCAAAGAATTGATTGAGTTGTTGATGTTGTTTCTCGTCTTGATGTCTTGATACTCGTGCTCTTCCTTGATGCTGTATATGTATAATGTAATAGAGGTGGTTCTTGAACCCAAAGGGTCTGGGAGCACTATGCTTCAACCAGGACTGGAACAAAGGACTGGCTCTTCTGTGTAATGTTTGTGAAATGAACTGTGTATATATTTCAATCTGTGAACTGTACTACTCGTGAACTTCTTGTGTAAATAAATATATGTAATCTGTGACAGGTGTCCCACCAAAAATGTGTACTGAGTGGGATGAGGAGGAAAACAACTGGCAGGCAGAGGCCTCCTTATATAGTAAATTATGAGGGATTTTAGCCCCAAGGGACCCCCTGTATGAGGCATTTTAGCTTCCCTGTACCTGAAAATACTGAGGGATTTTGGCTAGACTATCTACAATGCATCCCTTTGATATGCAAGCTGTAAGAAAGGAATTCATGTGTTCTGTGGCTGAATAAATGGGAATTTAACTGGTACAACTGGTGGCCAACTTGTGGTTCTGTAAGTATAAAAGGAATTCAATATGAATAAAAGGAATTCAATATGCAATATGCAATATACCCCCATGCAATATACCCCCATGCAATATACCCTCCAGCTGAGTGCCTCTGATCCTGTGATTCTCCGTGTGACATCCTTGATTCTGCGTAACTTCTGATCCAGTAGAGATATGAAGGTGGTTCCAGTGAGTGACTAGGGGTTAAATTGGCCATAGATTCCATTTCTGACGTCCCTTTGTCCATATCTTGAGTCCTTCATTGATAAATAATAAAATTTTGAATTTTCTCCCTTCATACACAGGAATAATGACCACACCGGTATATTGGCCCTGATCAGCAACTGGGCAATTTTTCCAGCACCAGTGCATGCAATCAAGCGACCCCATCATACCAGGAAAGCCTCGTTTCTCGGCAACCGCAAGAAGTCTAGCGGCATCGGTTTTGTTTGGAGTCCTTAGGTATTCGTCACGATAAATCTTGATGATTGTGTGGCAAAACTTTTTCAAACACTGAATTGCTGTAGATTCACCTGGATCAAATGAAATTCATTCAGGTCCTCAAAATTAAAACAAACTTCTTTGTTAGAAAACTTACTCATACAAAGATACTCATCAATTGAGTCGCCACTGCATCCGTATGCAAGCATTCGTATTGCCGCTGTTGCCTTCTGAAGAGCTGAAAAGCCCAATCTTCCAGCTGCATCACGCTTCTGTCGGAAGTAAGGATCGGCATTTTCAATATCGGTGACAATTCTGAGGAAGAGACTCCTTTGCATCCTGAATCGACGGTGTTAAGCTCTAAAGTGTTCGTGAGAACCTTTTGCTGAGTTCGGAAAGGGATGTGTGAGGTAACCTCTGCCTTTCCTGTGTACTACACTAAAAAAGACCACCAATCTTAGATTGGCAGCTTTTAATTAGTGATAGTGGAGTGTATCAAAAGATACTCTGTTGTTTAACAGGTGGACAGGTGCAAAATGGGTTGTTGTTATGTGTAAAGATGTTGTAATAATTGTATGTAAGGGTTGTATAATTGTAAACAAATATTGGGGACAAATATATTATGAGTGAGCAGTGATTTGCCTGTTATGTGGGGAAATGTCTGCAGGAAGTCTGCTGGGGAGAAATTACAACTGGGAGGAAGGGCCTCCTTATATAGACAACAATGAGGTATTTTGGCTCCAGGGGAGCCAGGAATGAGGGAGGGCCTCCTTATATAGACAACAATGAGGTATTTTGGCTCCAGGGGAGCCAGGAATGAGGGATTTTGGCTGGTGGTACAGCCTACATGATGTGATTTGAGAAGTTGAGTGGTTTCCGTCGGATTGACAAGCTGTGCAACAGTTGCTATGCAACCTAGCAACCTGCAGGCTGTGTTCTGTAAGCCGCATGATGTCATCCTGTATTTGAGGCTGTACGCATCACATGACAGGTTGCCAAGGTAACCTGTATGCTGTGCCTGCATACTTCCATTGTACTTGCTTGAGACGTACAGATGTCAGTTCACACGACCCAGAGGGGTGAAATGTGTACCTGATATCCTTGTAACATGTAAGGGTGCTTGACCCCCCTACCTGTGAGTAAAAGAGGGGTGTAACATGCAACACAGAGGGGTTACATGTGTCCAAGCCTGCTCCTCTAGGGTGATTTTGGCCCTGGAGTCCCTTCCTGGAGCCCTATATGGTGTAATATTATTGTATATACAAAGAACCTATAAATTTTTGAAGTTGTTGGATGGGAACCCATAAAGTATCCCACAACGGCGGAAAAGATAATCAGGATATATAGCGTCCTCAGCGAAGTAGTCATTGTATAGCTGCTGATGTCCTTCAAGTCGATTCCAATGGATTTCCCTTCGTCCAGGTGTTGAACCGCCGTGCTTCTTTTTTTCTTGTGTCTTCATAATTAAAGCAATGCTTGTTTGGAGGGAGGCAATGATGTCGTCGTCTTCGTCCATGAATTGGAGTAGTTCTTCCATTTTTTTGGGTGATGTGTTGAACAGTGTGTCGAGTGGGTATGGCGTGTTGAGTAGTTGGTGTCGAGTTGGTATGGCGTGTTGAAGTAGTTGGGTTGGATAGCTGCTCGAAGAGTGCCAGTCCACAATTGGAGCTGACCCGCGACTCCTGAGAAATGTGTTTGCGGGCCGGGGAACGCGCGTCAGCTTCCCCCCGGACCGTTAGAGATGCTCTTATAATCAATCCTTTTCCCATTTTGGCATCCCCAAAACCATCAAACTATATAACGCTGATACACACAACACATTGCATATTTCTGCATCTGAGATTGCATGATGAGTGAAGAGGAGATTCACCCACAAGGAAGTTGAACTCATAGGCACCATCCTCCTTTTTTTCCCACAAGGAAGTTAAGCTCATAGGCACCATCCTCACTTTTTTGTATCCAGCCATTTTCAGGGAGAGAATCTGAATGGCTAGTTGGTCTATGTAACCCACCCTTGTATATCTTGACACTGGGCAAAAACCTTGCTATATGTATCAAATGTCAACTGGCAACAGTTTGGCAAGATTTTTTCACAGTGTGATTTGTCTCAAAAATTACCAAGATGAATTTTCTTCAACCAAGAGGGTGTTTGTCACCACAAAAAATGTTTGCATGTGATGGATGTCCATGTGGCCCTGGGATCTTTGTTGTGTGAGGCAAGGGGCTTGCTGGTTTGAGTAAAATTCAAGCTTTGGTATGAGACTTCAGAGTAAGCAAGGTCTTTCCCCCACATCATGAAGCAATGCCCCCCCCCCCCATATTTTTAAAACATATACAAAGGAAAGTACAGAATCACAAAATAGGAGAGAATGAAGCAGACAAGTGAAGAGATAAGAAGGTCATGGAAAACACAAAAAACTGTGGAGACCCCTAGAAAAATGAGATAACAGAAAAGACAAAGAGAGTGAACATGAACCCAATGAAAACATATGTGCAGGATATAAAGAAATTGAGAGACAGATTTACACAGAAGAAAAAGGACATTGAAAAAAAATCAAGATTTTGAATCCACAGAAAATCAACCTGATAGAGAAAATGACATAGCAAATAAGAAATATCAAGATTTTGAATCCAAAGAAAATCAAACTGATAAAAGATAGCATGGAAGGACCTCAGTTCATTTTTTACAGCACAAAATCTGATTGAGGGGTATCAGAAACTGCAAATGCAAGAAGTTGATAAAATCATTATCAAGCATAGATGAATGCAATCAAGAAATCTCCATGAGATGAGGGGTCTAAGGTGATGGATATCCAGTAAGAATATATCATTTAAATCCAAAAACTCTTGTTTTTATCTATCATTATATTGTTTGGTTGAGTATCTTTGATTCATTTATTTTGTAGTTTTTGACATCATTCCACCATTGGAACCATTTGGATTGATCTATATTGTGTATTTCTATGATATCTTCTTGCTCTTTTAACCATTCAGACAAAGAATCCTCCTGATTGGAAATCTGTTGGTATATGTTTTCAAATTCTTTAAATTGATCTTTCAATTTTATTTCATATTCTTTATGTATGAGCTCAATCTCATTTTGAGAGAATTCCAGTGAGTTTGATTCATTTAATTTGAAACGTTTGAAAGACCTGGCCATGCCCATTATATATTTTATCCTTGAAAAAGATAACATCAACTTGAATTGATCTTCAAAATGTTCAGGATTTTCCATTCTTCTGGATATTTCTTTTATGATGCCATGGGAAATATTTGTATCAATGAAATCCAAAATTTCACATATGTTTCTTGATAAAAATCTTGAAATTAGAGTATCAATCTGAGTGACTGTTGGATCATATGTTTTTAGCAAAAGATTCATGAGTTTTTCAACATCTGCTTTCAAAATTCTCATATCTTCTTGGCTGATAGACATTAAATTAATTTCATCAACCTTTCCATCCAAAATTTTAGAAGGTTTTTCTCCATTATGTTTTATTAACCGTTTTGTATATCTTTGGTCTAGGAATGAATTAGAAAGAAATTTAACCTCCTCCTGTAGTGCCTCAAAGCTTTGTCCATGTCTGGTAAATGCAAGAAGCAAATGTTCAAAATTAATTCTGAGTGAGTCTTCTTCATTGAATGCTATTTTTTCTCAAAGAAAAAAAGGGAGTCAGTTTTTGACCAAGTTAAATTTTCATCAGAAATTCTGAGTGGTATACTCACCCTTGAAAAATTCGAATTCAGGTGGCCAGAACCATTGATTGATCATCACTCCACTCATTGAATTTGATTCATGTGAAATTCCATGGTGTTTGACAAAGAAAGCACTATATACAAGTGCCAACCTTAAAAATTCATCTTGCTCAAAGAAACTTCTTGTTGTTTCATCATCTATGAATGAATTCTTGTATAAGAAGTTGATACATTGAAACAAATAAGCAAATACTAAATTGGCTTCATCTGAATGATCAAAGAGTCCGTCAATATTCTGAATCTGGGATTTGTGATCTTGCATAAGATTCTTGATTTCATTCACAGGTTGAGATATCAATTCATCCCATTGTTGTTTTACACTTGATGCATGAATTTCACCTTTTTCATTCCTCAGATTTTGAAATTCAGAATTGATTCTCCCTAATCCAACAAGCTTCTTCTTCTTCAAGGTTTTCATCTTTTTGTTTAGATTTCCAACCAATTCAGCATCCTTGCAAAATTTCTTCTCATCAGGGTGCCCCCTTCCTTTCTTGTAATTTATCCTGATAGAAAACAATCAAAGAAGTCATCTAGGTATCTTGTATCTTTTTCAAGATTGATCAATTATCCTACAATATTTTGAAAATATCTCATTAACCTCTGTTAATAATTTCCAGAAACAAACATATGCAAAACAACTTACTTGTATGAGCTTTCCAGTTTTCCTTTATATCCAAAAACTGAAATAATAGATCTGATTAGTATCCTATGAGTTTCATTTTGGTATTTAGAAAAAGGACCTACAATCTTTGGTGGTCAACTGTTCTTTTCCAGGGTAGTATTGAAGTAAATTTTCAAAAAGAATCTGTTGTTTTTTACTCAGATTTTGTCTTCCAGTTTTGTGAGCTGACTTGTTATCAGCACTACTAGTATCACCTGTTGATTCTAAAATGAGAGATTCCTCATGTTTGACATCATGATATCCCTTATCTCCACCATGATATTCCCCATCTTCACTTCTGTGATCTGAATCATATTCATCATCACTTTCATCAGAACCATACCCACTTAAGTAATCTGACTCTTCATCACTATTGAAATTATTTTCAGATAAATCTTCATGTGGTGAAGTTGAAGAGTGAATCTGCAGATCATTTCCCTCTGGCTTCCCATGAAAATTGGGAGTCTCTGATTGAAGGTGAGTTGTGTCAAAATGAAAAGTCAGCTTGTCAGCTTCAGGCTAAGAAGTATGTAGTTATTTGTTATGAGCAAAAGATGATGTACCCCTGAAGTTGAGTTTAGCTGAAATGCTGTCAAATCCAAGTGCTGGACTAGAAAAAGACCCCTCTATAAAAATTAACAAGATCAAGTATAAGCTACTCAATACGTAAGGACTAAACATTTTGGCCAAAGATCAAGAATGAGAGGAGATATATTTTAGATTGATTGAATTACAGTGGGTATTTATATTGTTTTCTTGAAGAGTGAGATCATGATTGCCTCTGCTTGAGACAGGTAAAAACAATTCACATGGGCCCTTGTGCTTGCAGATGTTAGATTGAGGGACTTGTAAGTTGTATCAATGATGACATTGAAACTGAGACAAGACACATGCATTGGTATTGGTATTGGTGTGAATTGTCAACTTAATGAAGTTCCTCGTATTTGGAGGGACTTCATTAAGTTAGGAATTGTCTCTGTTTTGTGCCTGATACCTTGTTTTGTGCATGATACCTGGTATCAGCATTTCCTTGGTTGGTGAGACAATACACTGTGTTGTATTCAGTGGCTTTACCCATGCAAGAAAATTCATGTATTGTCTTTTCCAAGAACCTTGGAACCTTTTGAAAAAAAAATATGTTGGCAGATCCAGGCAGATCCCATGTCTTGGATATAAAAAATTGATTTTCCAGGTTTGGGTTTGGACAGGTATGCGATGCAACCCAAGACCTGATACTGCAATCCAGCCTTAATTTCTTTCCAAGAAGAGCTTTGGAAAATTGAAGCTCATATTTGGAATCAGGGTGCAAAGTTTACCCTGATCCCACCACTTACCCGGCCATCCCTTGCTACATCCGACCAGGCTGGAAGGTGATTTTGTGGCTGGGCATTGGGTCGCTGGGTAGGGGCGGGGAGGCAGAAGCAAAAGGTGGGATACCTTATGACAGAATCCTCGAAAAAAACAAAATCAAACAAGCTTTTTAATGCATAACAAGAACAAAAAAATTCGGAAAGTTCCAACATTCTTGGAAAAGACAATATCTCTGTTTTTTTTTCTTCATTGATGTGGCCAAATATCTTGTATAGCCCTCTGACTCTGAGTCAATACACAATATTTCTCTCACTTTCCAAAGGCAATATGTGTCTATTGTCTCAGGAAAGTGAGACAACACAAGGATTGGCATTTTTAGGTATTCAAGTTCTGAGACAATATAAATACAGACCTGATACTGTCTTTTATTGCCTCAGTTTACTTTCAGTGTTGCTTGTATCTCCTCCCCTTCAAACATCCAGACCTTCCTGGAGATCCTGCTGGTTAGGACTGCATCAGGACCCTGGAGAGCCCCTCCTATGCCAACTCATGTAGTACATATGTATCCAAACGATTTTTTCTTTGCAAAATGCTCCTCATGAAATTCATTGGATGTCATTATTTAGCTACAACAGGCTATAAACTTCAAGGGGTAGCAATTTTGGATTTCTCACAATCTTTTTGACCTGTACCATCCTCACAATCATCCTCATGTAGGATGTATCTAAATGCAGCTTTGATTAGGAAAAATAGATTTCTCTGTGTATCCAAAACCCAAATTTCCTGGGAATTACATGAGTTGGTTTGACAGGGACTTGCAGGGGTCCTACTGCATCACATTGCCTTTTGTGATTAGAGACACTAGCTTATGAAACCCATATACAGGTAGAGATTGAAACAACTTATGTATTTTCAAGTAATAGTTTTTAAAACTGCCCTCCATGAGGCCACCAAGTGGAGTTCTGCATTAGGTGACCACGAGGGGAAAAGGGCTAATGTAGTATACAACGTCATTAGTAATAATACCTGACTACATATGTATCACATCGCGGCCAGTGTATCATCATACCTCCTTGGCAACATGTAGGACTTCGTTTGACGGACGGTACCTTTATACCGCTCAGAAGTATCATCGCCTTACTATTACAGAGGCTGATGTTGCTCAACCTGGCAACACAGTCAACTTCGGTCAAACTGGCGTATCCATATGAAATGGCTCGCAGAGGGGAAGAGTTTGGCCCGGTTGACCATTTTACACAATCTAGCGAACTCTTGTAAGTAGAAGTCCAGAAGAGGGATTTCGGATTGTTGGCTACTTTGGTGTTGGTTTTTACACTATTGTTCCCACCGTCAAGTGATCAGAAAAATGAACTAAGAAAGATATACATAAACGGATCTAAGATGTGTGTTTAGAAGGGGATGGATGATCAAGTGAAAAAGTCGATCAGATGCGTTGACCATTCCAAACCAATGGCACAGAGGACCACTCACACAAGTCAGATATATACATCTACATCCATATATGTAATAAAAGAGGTGATAATTATACGATTTATCCAAGAATCAACGACAACAAAAAAGAACACATTCTATAAGGCCACAACCCAAACTAACAAAATGAGGCGATGTGACCGGTGAAAGAACGAACAAACGACCAACCCAAATAAAACGTGTAGACAGAAGGAGAGAGAGAAGATGAGATCCGACTGGAGAGAGATATGTGAGAAAGGAAGGAAGATGATATAGTCAAGAGGAAACAGACAAAAGCGATCCGATCCATAGGTGAGTAAATGAGAGAGGATAAGGTTTTCGAGAGGTGGAATAAGGGGTGAGAAAAAAGAAGCGAGTTTAAGGCGGACAGGTTTAATGGTCACGCCAGATCCGACGAGAGACTTTCACGAACGGGGGTTCGAGGGAGACGAGCGGGTCAGCAGGGGTATTCCCGTTTGGCTCTTCCCCGGAAGGGCCAGGGAGGATGAGGTTGCCGTGAGGGTCGAGACGGTAGACGGGTGTCGGGTCGGCACGGGGCTTCTGGGGGTTGTCCCCGTCCTCTAGCATTCCTCGATCATCTGTTGAAGAAGTATGATCGGTGGGATCTGGGGTTGGTTCAACTTCGGGAGGGGCTTGTGATGACGGAAGGAAGTTGAGTTTCTGAATCACATCACAGAGAAAGAAAGAGATGAGTTAGTGGGTCATCAGAAGATCGGAGGGAAATAAGGACGGACAAGAATAGGTTTGACTGTTGGAGGACCGGCCGAGGTTGATGCTGTTGTTGATGATGATGATGGTAGCGGTGGTGGAGAGGGCGAACAGGGAGGGGAACCAGAAGAGGTGAGAGAAGAGAGAGTTGAAGAGGAGGAGGAGACTGGGGGTGAAGGAGGTGGGGAGCGGTTCTCGGACTGTTGCTGTTGCTCTTCTTCTTCATTTTCTTCTTCTGGAGCTGGCTCGAGCGTCCGACGATAGTAGAGCTCTTCAAGGTCGACCGTCAGTTCGGGATCGTTCCAGCGAACGCGTTTCTCCCGATCCTGGACGTGTTGGGGCGCGTCAGCTGATGGAGCGAGGAGTTGGACGCGAATCTCTTCGATCGATTCCTGCGCGGGTTGTTTCCCTTTATCTTTTGCTGAATCATTGGCGAAAGGAGCGGGCTGTTTTTTCCTGTTGATATTAGATGATGATGAGGCGCCCTTACGGAAGTTCCCTTCGGGCGAAGGTGGCCTTAGTTGGTCCATATGGATCACCTCGACCTTGATCACACAAAACCGTTTCTTGTTGAGATTGGTCTGCTGCTTGGTAAGTTTGGCTAATTTGACTTGTTCTGTGTCTACCCGAGGGGCCGTCCTACGTGGCGGCTGGGGTGGGGAGGTGGTGGGTGTGGGAGCTTCTGGTGGCCGTGATGCACGCCTGGCGCGTAGCCGGCTGGTTGAGGGTTTGCCTAGGGTCAGCGGCGGTATTGGTGGGGAAGTGGGTTTGGTGGGTGAAGATCCTGGGCTGGGCTGTCTTGATGCTCTGGTGATAGTCGCGGTCGTGGAAGGGTTTGAGCTCGAACGTGGTCTCATGATGGCTGAGGAGGTCTGTAAAGCGTGTAGCCGTCTACCCAGCCTGGTGAATTTCGTGGTGGGGTTCTGGGCCTTACTATTGGCGAGGTCATCGGGGCCGTGAGTGATGGTTGAGAAGACCAAGGGTTCATCGATGATTTTCGCAGGCTTGCTCCTCGACGGTTGCGGGGTTGGACTGAGGATTCGTGGAAGCTGTGGGAGGTAGGTTGAGTGAGTGATTGATTGATTGAGTGATTGATTGATTGATTGATTGAGGAAGAGTATGATGGGGCTAACCTTTGAGGGTGATTTGACAGATGGTAGATTGAAGATGTTCTTGGGTGGTGATTGAGGTAGTTTTTGTTCCTGTTTGTTGGTGTGATCTCCTATGGATAGTAGCAGTTTTGAGATATTCTGGTTGAAGTTGTTTGATGGGTGTTTTTGAGATGATGAGATTGGTTCTGATGAGCATCTGATTGGAAGTGTGTTGGTTGATGCTGATAGCTGGATGTTATATGGTCAAGTCAGTAATTTGTTATGATTCCTTTGGTGGATAAGTATGTATGTGTATTTACCAGTGGTGATGAAGGTTCAGATGGTGTGGGTATGATTTGAAGTTTCTTGTTCCTGCGATTATCATTGGTAGTAGTTAGTTTTCGTTTGTTGTTTGCTGTTTGAGTTGCTGTTGTTTGAGTTGTTGTTGTTGTTGCTATTGTTCTTGGTAGGTTGGGTGATGGGTATAGTTCTATTAGGTCCTGTATTGCTCTTGGGTCGTATGAGATGAGTTGGTTGAGTTTGATGAACTGTTCTTCTTCTGGTTCTTCCATCCTTGAAAGTTCAATCCGCCTGCTGTGAAAGTGGTTGTTGGTTGTTCTGAGTGAGGGTATTTATTTTGTAGTGTGCTGTGAAGTCAAAGGAACCCACTTGGGATATTCTCCCCGATCGTCGACTTCAACAGCGGGGCACCCGGGGAGAACGCAAGTCGGACAGTGAAACACGGCATCCGCAGTCACGCCGCCCTCACGGCCTTGGAAGCCCGGAGTGTTTGGGGTCCGGCATTATCACCGTGCAGATCCTGGTCCGTCGGCAGAGATCTTCGGAGGGACTCCCGGCCATCGCCGCTTCACTATTGGGCAAAGAGATCACTTGTCTTGTCTATGTCATCACGCCATCCAACAGCTGCTCCCCATCATCAGCTCGATCCGGGGTGGCTGGCCTCTATAGGGTAGCTTCCCCCTGAGGCTTCAAACACATTCTCCGTTTTGCTAGACCTGAATCCCTCAGATTCTAGTTCTTCTGACAACCACCTTCAACAGCTAGTAACTTGAAACAGGAGATTGCCATTGTGGATCCAATTGGAATATGACCAATTCGGAGTATGTCGGAACTCGCCTTGGGAAGGAAACACACCATCCTTACATTAATATAAGCTAGAAGGATCCCATCATCGCCCCCATCCAGCCCTCATCACTCTCCTTGACATCTGGTTATTTGTCCTATAATCTATCTTATCTTCCCGTCAGATCGCTGACACCGCACCTACACTCATTCATTCCCCAGCTCGACCACCTTCACCCATTCCTTGACATTTGTTGTTTTCTTTTTTTTTTCTCAAAAACAGGACAAGAGGTCCACGATGATCTTATCACCCTATACTCTCCTTTTTTTATGCGTCGTTCATTCTCCTCACTCATTCGCCCATTATACCCTCCACAAACGCATGGAAGTAGTTGAGGGCGTCGAAGCCTCTGCCCGGTTAGCCAAAACTACCTCAGAGGTCGGACGTCCCTCCGTTCCTACCGCCGTCAACACCGCCGTCGCCCTAACCAAACCTCAATCTACTGCTGATGCCCTAAAAGATGCCACGGAATTCCTGCCAAAAGAAATTCAACCCCAAGGAGACCTTCCTCCTCACACTACTTCCTCTGAACATCCAGTTCATCTTGACGCCCACAATCCCGCCTTCCATCCCCCGGAGTTAGATCCTAGCCTGCATCCTCCCCCAATAGAGCCTCCCAAGCTTACTGCTATCTTCCGCATAAAACACAAATTCGCTTCAGGTTGGAAGAACATCTCTTTGTCTTTCCGACGCTTTACCAATGTCTTCTCCCGAAGTAGTGCTCCACGGACCTTCTCCTACGCACCCAAACTTGCAGCCGACTTTCGCGGAATACCGCAAGACTCAGAGCAGATCAAAACACTCGTCTCAGATCTGTTGGAACAGCTCGTCAACAAAAAGTCCGCGAAATCCTACCAATCCTACGTACGAGCCAACCCAGTCCTCGATAAAATCCCAGAGATCACCCAAGAAACCACCGACTATTTGTCTCAAATCCAAAAGTTTATTGCCCACGACATGCCCAAAAACGAAGAAGAGATCTCCCGAAGCAGTGAACAGATCGCCCTCAAACTTGCACCCGCCCTCAAAGATTCAGCCAATCCCAGCACGGCTTCTCTGGGTAATCTGGCCCTTCAATTGGCCCGCTTCAACTCCCATGAGTTATTGGAAGCTCGAATTGGTAAGATAATTACCCGTCTCCCTAATCTAATCTCCCCTCAAACTAACTCTTGTCTCTAAATTCCAACTGCCAGGAATCCGCTTATACGGTGGTCAGCGTGTAGAATCCTTGGCCAACATGCACGGATTCCTAGGACCCCAAAACGTGTTCTCATCTCAAATGGCCTCGATCCTTCGCGACGAAAGCATTGTGGGCAAGCTGCCTGAAGGTTTCAACTCGGACAGATTTGTCAAGGAGCTCGAAGAGTTGCAGACCCACCTCACCGAGCTAGCCAGATACCAATCCGCCGCACGCCAGGCCGCCAGGCACATCAGCCATTGCCCCCATTCCCCTACGACCAGGTCTCCGAGCTCGAAAAATTCCAAGAAAACCAAGCCAAGATTTTCAATGGAGATCGCCAAGGCTTTCAAACACTCATCTCAAAATCGAGAAAGCCGAGCCTTACCAAGCTTTCCAAAGCGATCTAAACTGTAAGCCACCGCTTGTCAAAAAATTTCCAAGTACTGTCCTCATAAGCCTCGTGACTTATCCCCCCAATTTCCTATGCATATCTAAATGATCAGTTCCTCGAGACATTGGCGGTTATGAGATGCAGTTTGTCCAACCACTTGGGTCGGCCGAGAATCTGAACCCAGGAACGATGACAGTCACCGATGCACACAAATTTGAACATTCGCCTTCATCGTCCAGTGAATAGTGTGTTTGCTCTGAGTGGACAGTCCAGAGAATTGGCTCTGGATAATACCGTCAAGCGGATGGCAATGGCCGTCAAGGCTCGTGAGCTTAGTCAGAAAATGTCGAGCCTTTACACTAATAAAGGGCTCGATCTCATCGCCCAAACTATCCGCACTCATCCATCCTAATCCTGCCCCCTGTGCACCTCCAAACATTATGATGTCGATCCTTCTACGTCCACAGTATGATTGCCCGAGATGACAGAAAAATCTGAACAATTTTTGCTCTATTGTCTTTTCTTTTTTTCTCTTTCCCCCAAAGCAATAGTCAACAGACCCCCTTGTCTTCTGAAAAATTTCGCTTTTGATTGTTGTTAGCTTGGAACATGTATGCTTTAAACCATCTTTTTTTCAATCGAATTTGAAATAATCAACTTTGCTTTTTCCAAAGTTTCTAGGAACAATCTCAAAATTTTCTATCGTCCCAGAACCTTAGCTTCTTTCTTAAAGAAAATCAACCCCCTCATCAATTCCTTTTTTTTTGTTCCACAGCTTTTGTTTGACTGTTTGCTTGAGTACATACATACAAGTTAATATATCACAAACTATACCCCCTTCTTAATTATATACTCATTATTCACATCTATTTTGTTCTTGATCTTCTACTTCTGCTCTCTGACCTCCCAAAAAATCAAAATTAAGACAATTGTGCTGAAGCTTTTATGATTTTGATTGTTCAAATCCCCTGATATCCTGGTTTCCCAAACAACTCGTTAGCTTGTCTGATCTGTGTATAATACAAGAAAAATATCATTGAAAAACCATTCAATAACTTTCAGCAATGTGGTATACTGTATGCAAGAAAAAAATCAGATAAATGACATCACAGAAACATGTCTCAATCAGCAAAAATGAAGCAAGCAAGTGAGGGACCAGAGCTCTATAACATTGAAAAATCATTCAATATCTTTGAGCAATGTGGTATACTGTATGCAAGAAAAAAATCAGATAAATGACATCACAGAAACATGTCTCAATCAGCAAAAATGAAGCAAGTAAGTGAGGGACCAGAGCTCTATCTGAGCATTGATTTTGCTGGAACATGTTGATTGAAGCATCAACCAAGATGCTGATTTACAGCCTTTCCAGAAAAGTAAAAAAGACCTCAAAAATAGTCTGGAAATGTGAGCTTCACCTCTCACAGGTTTCACAAAGACAAGCATTTCATATTACATAAGCAACTTAAATGGATAGCATCATTCAACCCAGACAATCCCCCATACAAGCTAGGTGAGCAATATCTTCTTGAGATTGTGAAAACCTTATGCCATTCCATATAATAGAAGAATGTGAGTAAGCTCAAAGAATCAGAAATTTGGCTAATTCCTCAGATCTGGGGCATACCCAATCAACTTATTTGTTTTTTCCATGTCACAAATTTTCATGTAAATCATGTTGAATAATTTATTTTTCTTGTCAAGATAATCATTTATATTACATTCAAGTCAGCCAAATTTTTCTAGTCTATAGCTTTGTCGAATGTTTCAGTTCCAACCTCAAATCTTTAACACCCTGTTATGAGCTGTGGAGGACTGGAACTGGGGATGTTACATATGTAGAGAGCCTGTTACGCACATGTCACGAACTTCGAACTTGGAGTTCGTTCGAGATCCGAACCTTGTACAGTCTCCTCCCAGATGTTTATAGCCATCTGTTTTGAGCTCCACACCGGGAACCCAAAAATTTCAAGTCACAATAGTTTGTGGAATGGTGGAAAATGGGTTCCCAAAGAATGAATATGAAAAAATAATAATAAAAAACAGGATTTTAAAATTTGTGAAAAAGATAAAAGAAAATCAACTTTTTTCAAAAACTTTAATTTGTTGTTTGAGTGAAAAGTGAACACACAGAGGGCAAGTTTGGAACATGAAAAGAATGATTATAAATGAAAAATATTGGTCCAAAAAAAGTTTGAGCATGGTGGGTGCACACCCTGCAGTCAAAATTAGTAGATTGCAGTACCAGAATGTCACATTTCTTGGTGAATGACCCCTTAGGCAGCCTTTTTATACCACCAAGTAGTCATTTTTTCCAAATTTTCACTTCTTATTATTCATTCCAGATCTCATACTATCACTTCTGAGATTTCATCTTTTCCTGAAAGAAATATTAGAGCTGTCAGTTTTTGTGATTTTCTCATTTTTATTTTTTACAAATTTTATAATCTTGTTTATCATTATTATTTTTTCATATTCATTCTTTGAGATCCATTTTCCACCATTCCACAAACTCTTGTGACTTGAAATTTTTGGGTTCCCGGTGTGGAGCTCAAAACAGATGGCTATAAACATCTGGGAGGAGACTGTACATTCCTCATCTTGCAATCTACCATCAAGACTCAGAACCCTGAAGATCCATCACCTGCTCTCCTCAGAACACCCATAACATATTGCAAGATCAACTCATACGGAGACCAGGAACGAAACACCCAGAACACCATCCCTCAAACCTAGAAAATCAACCCTGAAAACTCACCTCTCAAACCTTGAAAATCATCCCCTTGAACTTCTCTCAAACCTTGTCTATCAACTCTGAAAACTTACCCCCTACCTCCCTCTCACCCTCACAGACCCCTCAGGCCCCCCAGGAGGTCGTTTTTTTGCGTTTTTCGTCGGATCGCGTCGGATCGTTCGGTTTTGTTCGTCGGATCGTCGTAGGGCCCTCGGATAACGCCCAGGACCCTTGGATACCGCTCGGAACGCTCGGATTGCGCTCGGAACGGTCCCTAAACCCCTCTAGACCCTCCAACAACCCCGGATCGTCGTCGGACGCTCCAGAACCAACCGGATCGTCGTCGGACGACCCAGACAGGCCCCCAGCGCCCCAGAGCACCCCACGGAGCGCCAGCGTCCTCCCCATCGCCCACCAAGGCCTCCTGAAGGCCCCCGACGCCTATAGACAAGCCCCAGACACCAGGCGACGCCCCAGAGCACCCAGCAGCCCACTGGAGCGCCCCCAAGCCACCCAGTGACCCTTAGAGCCCCCCAGCGCGCCCCAAGGACACCCTGAGACCCCCTGGAAGACCCCTGGCCGTTTTTTTCTGTGACCCAGGCCTCCAAATCAGACCCCAGACCCCCAGAACAACCCCATAGACCTCTGTGAGACCCCCGACCCCCAGAAGAACCCCCCAAGACCCCCAGAATAAACCCCCGACCCCCTGAAAGAACCCAAGACACGCAGTGAAACCCCTGAAAGACCCCAGACCCCCCAAAAAAAAACTTGAAAGACCCCAGACCCCCCAGAAAAACCCCAGAACCCCCCCAAGACACCCCAGATCCCCGAAGAGAGCTCACACAAGCCGTTTGGCGAGGGGTAAAAGTACAAAAGTAAGCCTCCACAATTTTAGTTGCACCTTCCGAAGTCACTACACACCGTCAAAGCATTACCTGCCACTCTGTGAGCCGCCCCGTACTGTTTTGCTATGGACGTAGGTGAGAAGGACGCCAAACTCGCCGAGGTCCAGGCGCAACTGACCCAACTCCTGGCCGTGGTCGAGGAGGAACGCAGTCCTGTAGGAAGACGTAGGAGCGTTTAGCCAGGAAGGAGGCCCAATTGACGAAGGCCCTGAAGAACGCCGACAATAAGCCGCAAGGACCAGCCCCGCCGGCCAAAGGCCCGAAGATCGGCGTCCCTGACAAGTTCGATGGCACCCGTGGAGCTAAGGCGGAGGTTTTCATCAACCAGGTAAACCTCTACGTCCTGGCCAACGGACACCTCTTTGGCTCCGACCGCGCCATCATGGTGTTTGTGTTGTCACATCATCCCTGACATGATTTCCCAGTTGGGAAATCTTGTAAATCTTAGGGAAATCCTGTAAAAAAACTAAAGATTTTTCTAGATTTTTTAGATTTTTCCATATTTTTTTAGATTTTTCAGTTTTTTACATTTTTCTAGCTTTTTTAGATTTCTCTAATTTTTTTAGATTTTTCCAGATTTTTAGATTTTTCAGACTTTTTAGATTTTTCAGATTTTCTAGATTTTCTAGATTTTCTAGATTTTTTAGATTTTTCTAATTTTTTTAGATTTTTCCAGATTTTTGGGATTGTTTCAGATTTTTCAGATTTTTCCAGATTTATTAATTTTTTTTTCAGATTTTTTCAACTTTATAGATGTCTCTTAATAAAAAAATCTGGAAAAATCTAAAAAAATTTGAAATTAGAAAAATCTTTAATGGTTTTTACAGGATTTCCCTAAAATTTACAAGATTTCCTATCTGGGAAATCATGTCAGGGATGATGTGTGTCCTACCTGACTGGACCGGCTAGCTCTTGGGCCCAACCGTGGATGAAGAAGGTGATGAGCGATACTGAAGCTATCAGTAAAGACGACTTTGACACTCAGTTCACCGCCATGTACTGCGACACCGAGAAGAAGACCAAGGCGGAAGCAGCCCTACGAGCGCTCAAGCAGACCAAGTCGGTTTCTCACTACACCCACCAGTTCAACCTGCACGCCCACAACACCGGCTGGGCCCCCGCTGTCCTCGTCAGCCAGTACAGACAAGGCCTGCAATCCCAAATACGCCTGATGTTGCTGATGAGTCGTACCGAATTCTCGGAACTGGCCGACATCGCCACCCTGGCCCTGCAGATCGACAATGAACTCCACGGCCTAGCACCCACTGAGACGGCCAAGACCCCGGACCCCAACGCGATGGACTTGTCAGTCATGCGTGGCCACCTTTCGGACGCGGAGAAGACCAGGATGATGCGAGTGGGCCAGTGCTTCCGATGCGGGAACCAAGGCCACATCTCGAGGGATTGCCCGGACCGTGGACAGAAGGGGAAAGGAAAGGAGAAGTCCTGGATTGCTGAACTCGAAGAAGAGGTCAAACAGTTGAAGGCAGGAGGCAGTAGAGCGGAGTCGTCAAAAAATGGAGGAGCTCAGGAATGAAGGATGTGCCTATCCTGAGCAGTGGAGAGTTGTTTGTTGTTAGC